TAAAAAAACTGTAACAGATTTATAAGTAGTATTACAATACAAATTCATTAAACTTATTAGGTTCAGAAAATAACAAAAGTAAAAGAAAGCAAAAGTTTATTTGTTAAAGTTTCATAATAACTACAATCCAAATCCTCTTATACGTGGTATCGCCAAAATCTCTGTTCTGTGGGTCCTTGATATCAAAACATCGCTTGGCGGCAAAACGTTTATCCGTCCATCCGTCTCTCTGCCCGTCTGTGAACACAACTAGCGCCTAAACCATGAGGATAGGAGTTTTTCCAAATTAAAGAAACATCTGTCCATCTGGCTGTAATTAAAACTTTGAAATTATGGAAAACATTCTTTAAAATTTGGGGGTACTTTACATGAATCCCCTGAGATTTTTTCAAAATTTTCTCTATAACGATTTCAATTTTTTTCTTAATGTTTTGTAATAATAAAATAAAATATAAACTTGGCATAGGTCCTATTTTCATTGTAAACTCTGTATAACATGCAGAAACGCCACATTGCCTTATTGTTTTGTTTTTTCAAAAATTACAAAATTCGTCGTTAATATTTACAGTAGCGACGATTTCTTCACATTATTGTATTTATGTGTACATCTTATTTCAATACTGTATAATGTTTCTGGAAAACTGCAGTTTTCTATGAATATGAGATCAAAATGAGCTGAATTTTCAGAAACGCTCAAAAGCTATTTTCAAAAAAATGGTTCCAATTCCGAATAGTGATAGTTGCAATATTTAATATACTAATAAGTTATTTTTGTTGTACCCTTTTCTTTTTTCAACATTTACACAAAAGTATTTTTTTAATAACTCTCACGCAGTTAATATGCATATTTTAAGAGATTTTTAAAAACTATAGCATTTGTACTTCAAATGACTTCAAAAGTGAATGTACTTCAAATGACTTCAAATTATTTTTTTATAAAACAAAAAATATTTCTGTGAAGAAGAGTTTATAATTTCGCATTTACAGTAGCGCTGTAACCCGGAAGGAGAAAAATAAAAGAAATATCGATTTTCACTGTTTAGAGAATTATTAATCTTAAATAGTTCCCGTTTTTAATTATGTATTCATTGTACCTATACGTTGTTTCTAAGATTTTTTAAAATTAAATAATATGCTGTACGTTGATCTTGCTATGCACGATTGCCTACGTGGAATTATCTTCATTTTTAACTTTATAATAAGAGAAATAAAGAAACTAGAGGAGGACACTATGGGAAAGAAACGGGGAAGAAATCCAGACATACTACGTATGTAGTGATAAATAAAATAAAAGAGTAAATGTCGAATGATTATGAAAATCCATCATATGGACCTGAAATATACTAAAAATACATGGGAAACATTGAAGCCTGATTCCCGTAAGTTTGTATTTTTGGAATAGAAGGAACATTATCTCCTAACCTATTACAGCTACGAACTTCAAAATTTTAGGCATTCTTCACCACGTCAGACTATAACTTTTTTCATATTTTTTTTATTATATCGTATTGTTTAAACAATTTATCGTCTTATTATTTCAGTAGTATGCATAACATTTACGGTTCGCACACACAACCGATCTTTATAAATGAGGCCTCTAAAGAAAATAAATTTCACTGATACGCAAAGAATTGCACTTTGACTTTAAAAATATGAAGGATTTGTTTAAAGAACGCATTTAAATATTCATGTCAAATGCAACCCGCAGTACTCAGTCCATATCGTTAAATAACTCCTAAACGAAGGATTGTATGGCTTTATAATTAAAATTTTGAGTCGAAAGGCCTCAAATTCACACCACAGGACGAGATATCATTGGACATTTTACTCTTTTTGCTGGTTCGGCACTTATCAATAGAAACAAAGCCACCTAGATTTGAACCCTTGGTAATGATAGCCATCTTTGTGACGTCTCGCCTCGAAGTCTTAGATTACTTTATCTTACACTATTTACGCTTTCTTCTATTTTACACCGTGATTTGCGCAGAATGGTGAGTTTTATTTGCATGATTATTAATTCAAAATTGCCCTTAATGCCATTTTCTTAAAAACGCCTCCAAATTTTTCAGTGACAATTGGCATTTAGGACAAAGTTTCACTCGTCTTTAATATTATTAAATATATATTTCAGTTTTGCTATTGGGAAACTAACGAATTGAATGAAAAGAATGTTCTTTCCGTGGCGATGAATGGCAGCAAGAGTATGGGCGTAGCCCAGACCAGAGAAAATAGAAAACTATTATGAGGAAGTCTGTGTTATTCTGTAGCACCAATAGTTTAAAATTGTAAGAGTTTAATTATATTTTCAATATGTTCAATATTTTAATGTTATTAGGGGGCAATATCTGGCCATGCTTAGTGTTCCTTAAGACAATAATTCGACTTTCGTTGTATCGGTGGTACAACTGTGCACAATATTATCAATATTATCCAGCTTCTTAGGAGCAATATATCTGGGAAACCATAAAATTTCAATAAAACGGCAGAAAATTCTTAATATCTCCCCTTTACATTAAAGTGAAGTTTGTGCAGAGAACGGAAAAATACCAAGTACATGTGTTTTACAATGGAAAACGGTTGGAAGGATATAAAACTCTTAGTGATGGTAGAGCGCATTTGATACTTCTTTCATGTACATGCAAAGGAGCATTTAGATAAACACATCGTATATTACCCACAAAACATTAAAAATGTGTGCCTTAAAACGTGTGGTTGAGAGCGATTCGCCATTGTTGAGTTGGCTCAACACACACGCAGTATGTTTGCGTCATTTATCTTCGTGTGAAGACTAATGGTCTCCTTCTAAAGTCATGATAACGTGAAATTAAGTAGTGCCAACATCATGATAAATAGGGGAGACGTGTTTTCTGCTACAGATGTTAGGATGTTGCAAGAACAACCAACATTCTCAGCCATTCTTTATATCTAAGTTTTTATACTTTTTATTCGGTGACATGGAAATTCTCATTTGTACTCTCCATGTTTATAGGACTTATTTTCTTTTAATAACGGTCTTAACAATCTCATTCACTAGCTGAATGTCTCTCTCACTTTCTACCTCTCCATTACACATAAAGGGACTAAAGGCAAGACATGATTCGTCATTTTCATGAGTCATTACTGTAACACTCGAAGCCGAGAAACAGGATGTTGACTAATTGTCATAGAAATATTGTGTTAGGCAATGGACTTGGAATGTTCAACGTTGTGTGGTATCATCTACAAAACTAATTATGTCAATTCTTTATTATTTAAATCTAAAAATTTTAGGATGAAAACTTCATAACTACTGATTATCGAAATCCGGAGAAAGAGATATTGTTTTTCATTGTCAATTATACATTTACGGTAGAGAATTCATAAAATTTATCTGAAAACAATTGCGTAGAAATTCTACCTAAGGGGATACACAAAATCGATTGTCCGCTTCCATAAGTACTTTTACATTTCACTTGAAACGAAAACGTATGGCACAAAAGAAATACATTAACTCCGTAAAGTACCCACTCACGCTTATGGAATCGTGCATGATATTACACTTACACACACGAACACGTTCCCAACGACGTATTAAAGCAACAGAAATCTCCAGTTATTTGACAGTTATATTTCACCGCCTTGAATCAACGAAACAATGCGGCGAAGCCGCGACTACAAAAGAAGAAATGGGAGTTGTTGGAGGCGATGAAACATGTGCCGAGTCACGCACATTTTAAGAGGAGACAGCGCAGCAGGGACATGTGGCCGCCGAGCAGGTGGCGACCGCCCCGGTACCCACGCGCCCTCCGCCCGCGGCCGGCCAGCGGGCCACGGCACGGCACGGCACGGCACGCCGCGGGAGGCCCTCTGGACGGTGAAAGTGGGGCCTTTGTGGTGTCTGGATTCGACTGAGGGACTTTGTACAAATATCTACATGAATGAAAATAATGAATGGCTCACGAAAAACGTATGGTATGGATATGTGAGTCGGTTGAAAGTGTGGCCGTTATGAGGTCTAGATACGACTGAGGGACTTTGTACAAACATCTACGTGAATGTAAATAATGAATTTGTAACGAAAAAAAAGTAACGTATGCATATGTATGGAACCCGGTTGCGGTGTCTCGGGGACGGGGAGATAAACTGATGTCACTGCGGTGCCTCTGACCGGAAGGTCCTAGGTTCGAGTGATAAGATTGTTCGACGGTGATAGGAATTTCGAGGCTAGCTTGTCAGCTAGGTCGAATTCAGTCGCTGTCTGGTGAATAAAGACTCATTCACAGTGAAAACATAATAAGCATGGCGTTAACATAAAAGTTAGGACCACGTCCGTAAATGGACTCATTCACAATGTGTTCGCAAAACCGTAACACGTAAGACTTTAACATAAAAGCTTGCAAGCTTCGGGCGTCTGTGCTTATGCTAAAGTAAGACATAAGAAATAAACCAATCACAGTTCGTTAACTCAAAATTTGGGAATCGTTATAGGAGTGAAATCGATATACGAACTAACACCACGAACACAGTCTATACTTTGAAATCGATTCTCACATCCAACCAATAGTGAATTAGAATATCTCACACTCCATTAAAACTATTTAAAACAATTGAAACTCTAATTGAAACTATTTTTCTTACGTATATATTAGACATATACGTATATATACCTCTGTCTATCTCTTATGTTAATGCTTACGTCTATGCGTTATACTTATGTTTACGTATATATTGTGCATCGGCCTTTATTCTAGCCAGCGGCTGCTCTGATCGGTAGTTTTCCGTGGTTTGTCCAATCAACAGCTGAACGTCGAAGCAATACCTTATCAAACGGGCTACGAATCGCGTGAGATCATTCCCTCCTCCTCGTCTTATCCTCAGCCTTTACATACACGGGGAGAAATCACCGCCACCTCCCGAGAAAAAATATCACTACACTTACCGGACAAGTGACCTTATCAGTTGACACGGTCGGAATCATCAACCAATGACTCGGGGCGAAGGCGGTTCCCTCTGCAGAGTCAAGTGAGCAGAAGGTCCTCTGGCTCGAGTCCGGAAGGTGGAAGATTCCGTCTCTAGCTACATGGCTCATTCGAGTTCAGCCTCTCTGGAGGAGACTTATAGCGGCCGGCTTATCCAATCCATAGTTCTGCGTGGTTTTTTCGATGAACACTAGACGAATGTCGGAGAAGTACCTTAACAAACGAGCGACGCACAGCGCATTATCTTTCTATCCTCGTCCTTGTCTCCTACTCTCCTCCTTACACACATACACTCCTTCACACACTACACTGTCAAAAATGATGTGAGATAAGCTCAGAATTTTTCCAGGCTGGGTGAAATACTGCGAGGGATAAAATGTATATATGGCATATAAAAGTATGCTATATGCTAATATACACGCATATTGGCAGTCACAATACGTATTCGTGTTTATGTACGTGTAAGAGTATGTGTGTGTAGGTGTGTGCGTGAGCGAGGGCCTGAGAGTATATTAAAGGGAGAGGGGAGAGAAACAAAGAGAGGAGGTAGAAACAGTGTATACTTGTGTATTTGAGGAAAAAACAAACCTATGAAATGGAACAGAATATACAGAAATCTCTACCAACTCAAAAGAATATGTAAAAGAAAGAACTTCCTTTTACATCACATTCTTAGAACCATTCATTGCATTTTAATGCAATTGCATTGCATTCTAATCCCCAAGTGGAATTGCTGGTTGTAAAGACCCATATTTCTGAAATTGGTTCAATGTTCTAGTTTTCTACCGGAATGTAAAAGCCTACAAAGCGGCTTGTAAAGGATACTCTCTCAAAATCTGGAGCACTCTAACAAAATTTCCTCCTTAATTTATTTTCTCTAAAATGCCTATTTATTTACTTCAGAATATTTTAGCATTATCAATCTTATATTCTGCATCGAATTGTATATTTTTTCAAATCTCCACTCAAATTGCATATTCATTGCTCTCATATTCACACATGTGAAAAGCATCTGTCGAACTAAAGTATGTAGAATTATAAACAGCATTTATATATGTAATATGAACATACAAATGATGAATACCAAAAAAATGTACAAAACTTCGTTGAAGCGCAACTACAAAGACTGCCACAGAACGGTGCGCATCTCAACATCTCAAGAAGAAACCCTACCTGCTTTCCTACCAGCAGTTAGCTCGCGAGGAGCCAACTATTTCATGTTTTCTCTTGCGCCTCAGGCTCAGAATGTGCGGAACGCAAAGGGAGAACCGTTCTCTGGCTTCGCTCGAATGCTTATGTGAGAATTATACACGTATTAAGTCCGAAGTCGGTGAATGGTGTAAGTCGTTTAAAGTATAATTACAATCCGGTGTCATGTCGTTAGATAAACACAGTGTACTCCCGTGTAGTTTTGCAATGAATCAATCACTTTTCTAAACGTGTTATAAATATTTATTGGTTTTATGGCGATGTATTGACGGTTATTGAGCATGAAGGTTACTCTATATCTTAGTGATTGGTATCACAACCTTTATTTTAACGCCATAATTAGCCTACATATGAGTTCACTTTTTCTTTCCTCTTTCGCCCTAAATGCCACTCTGTTTTGAATGTCAGTTAGTAAATGACTGCTCCAACACGGCTATCATGTTTTACCCTCCGCATCGATGTTCGGTATGTATAATTAGATGTTTTGGTAGTTGCTCAACAATTTAAAGGAGATTTTTGAATACGAGGTAGTGAGAAGTATTACTCTTTGGTGCAGAAGTTAGGATAGAAGACAATTAGGATATAAATTAGAAATAAAATTCGCAATAAATTAAAGAAGTGGATTGTAGTGAAGCATAAACCGTTGAAAATAACATTTGAGTTAGAAAACGGAAGATGCAACTTTGTCAATTTTTAATCCGAAACGCGAAGACAAAAAAGCAAAAACAAACCATTTCACAAAGACTACCATAATCTTCGGAGATTACAGATTTTATAAGTGCCCTTTGCGGATTTAGAATAATTGCTAAGTTGCACTCAAATAATTGGATTGAAAGAAATATTTTGAAAAGTTTATATAAACACAAATGCATCAATATTTGAATAATCGTGCCTAAAGTGGATTATTCAAAATTGTTGCCAACGACTGGCGTTTATGTTAACTCGCTCGTAAAAATTCAGGAGAGTGGAAGATGAAACCAAGTGTAGCATCTGTATTGCCGAAGGGACACATTACGTTCAAACCGTTTTTCGCACTTTCTTCCTGAGTCAAGAGCGGCTATTTGGTAGTTAGACCGCGGAGTAGTTGTGGCGATGGAGAAATGCACCGCCAGCGGGACAACGTGACCTCACACACGCACTAGTGAGTGGGACGGCATAATAATAACAGTGGAATAAGAAGACGAGATGGAGAAGAAAAGTAAAGAGTATAACAAGATGGAGTAGGAGGAGGGAAAAGGAGAAGATTGATGAAGGAATGAAAAGAGGAATAAAATGAAGAGCTTCTTTCTTTATTTTATTCCCCTTTTCATTCAGTGAAAAAAAGAAACAAGAGGGGAAGAAAGAAAAGGGTATAAGAAAAAGAGAAAAAAGAAAGAGAGTTTTAACGCAGCCCAATATTGGGTGTTCCCTAAACGAATAATATTTTCTGCATATTATAATTTTTTCACTTACATGAAGTTCCTTATAACACGACCTCGATAGATAGTGAGACGTCATACTTTTGCAAGGCGTTTCCAGAATATTTCATATTGAAAATATAAAAATATTTATCATGGTTAATTTCAATAAAAATCAATTATTTTAGTACGTTTTGTCGCTAATTTAGAAATATTTGCAAGGAGAATGTTTCTATAAGAATTTAGCAACCTTGAAGTTTCATAGAAAGGGACATACTCATGTTATGATACTCATGATTATTTTTACTGATGTTATAATATCATAGTAATCAATAAATTCAAAATTTTCTCTATGTGCGTACATTGTAGTGAACTCATAGCTTCACAGCCAAAATCAATATAAATGAAGTAGGGAATAATTTACTTCTGAAAAAAAAAAGAACCGAGATATTTGGCATTTAGGCGGCAAAGTCTGCCTCATAGTTATCTTAAGAAGCCAGTGTCACCTCACTTTCGCAACCCTATTAAGTTCCCATATCTATCTCAGAATGATTAGTTCAACGGTGGTAGAATCGTGAGTTAAAATTAATTTTTGTGCAGGGCAAGACATTTTTATAGTTTTTTTGATTTTCTGAAATATTACAAAGATTTTTTTCATTTTAAGAACCATTGTCACATCTGTAAATATACCAGTTCAAAAAGAACCAACATCCTGGTATTTCGAGTTAGAGGCTGGGATTAATCGATCATAGCTACATTAACATGTAACAGCATACATCATTTAAAAATTTGCATCAGATATAACACTGACACGCAAAATGACACCCGATACTGAATAGCTTCAGGACTTAATATAGAGAATGCTCTGGTAAAGATAAAGCAACGTTCTCTGTGGTGCCGGTGCAGAATGTTGAAATGAGGACTCTCCCTTCCATACAGCAACAATGAAAAATGAGTTTTAATCATTTTGTTAATGGTTTGACACCGGTTTTTGTCTAAAATATTTATCTACAAACTATTGTTACAATTAATGCACGGAAGATACATTAAATAATGCACTAAATGCACAAAGCATCTAAATACATACAAGTTCTTCTGTTCAGTTTGTCTGCAACTATCTTTTACCTAAATTTTCAAAAATCTGAATCATGGAAACCTAGAGTTAACTCTGCATCAAGTGTAAGTTTTAAAGTAAAAAGAATGAACATTTTTAAAAATATGTTGGATGATTCAGAACTCAGTTTACACAAATAGATGACTATTGCACTGGAATTGAGTATAACTCCGAAATTAAACCGTGTCGGCGCTTTTACGTAACCTCAGCATGGTGTAAGAGAATACCTATGTCAACTCTCAGTCTAAAACAAACGTTTTGAGGACAGATCTCAGAGTTCTTGGATACGGCGATACAGACGACTTTGGCACTTTTGAATCAAATGTAACGATAATTAATTAAATATAGGAGCTCTTGAGCAAATCAATGTAGTCAAGGATCTAAAGCTAGTCTACCAGGTGGAGAATCAGAAGCAAATCGAGGGGTTTTTGCGAGAGTGGATGAAGTGGAGGATCCCCAATGATTGAACTCACGGTGGGAAGACAGGGATAGGCTCCTCCGGCGCTCCGATGTTCGTCCGTTTTGCGCTGCCCAATTTGCGTACCGAAACACGTGACCACAACTCGAACACTTCGTTTGAAAAGCCGAACCAGACGCTGCCCCCATTTACATGGAAAGCGAGAAGTGTTGTGAAACATTTTAAGTGCCATAAAGTGACAATTTGCATCTGTGACCAACCAAAAATAACACTTTAAAGGTGTAATTAAAATAAAAGATGCATTTTTTAAATACTTTGTGTATGTTTTCACTACTTGAAACAAGGTTATAATTTTGGTATCTGACTGCATTTAAAATCCCTGCTAATATTATGATGCAAACTGATACCTGAAGCGTATTGGCTGAAGTCGGATACGATTCTCAGTCGCTCACCCACATCTTTCCACCATGATCGAAACATCGACAAACATACGAGGATCAGCCGAGTCAAAATCACCCTCGAATCCACAATGTCAGGAACAATCTTGGTACTTTATGTCAGGTCTGATGCGAGCATCGGCAACGATGTACCATCTCTTGTCACAATACAACACTCCCAATAACTCAACAAGCAATTGTAATACAATTGCCCCTCCTTCTGCACCCCACATGTACTTCGGCAATTCCATCAGGGCAATGCTACAGCTCAACGTCCAAAACTTCTACAGAGTGGCTCCAGGAACACGTTTTTGAATTTAAACACTTCTACTGGCTACCAAAATCCTCAGACATGACCATTATTGTGCATATCTGGAATGACTTGCAACGTGCTGTTCTGAAGAGATGTCGGCCCCCTCGTAATCTTACGAGTATATGGACAGCCCTGCAGGATTCATGATGTCAATTACTACAAACACTACTAGACATTATTCCTAGACCTTGAAGAGGTTTGTAATGACTTTTTCTCTCTAAAATTTCACTTTCATCTTTGAATATTACGCATCATGTTTCATCGACGACTTTATTTCTGTACCCACTTACACGGGTCAGACATCATCCATTTTTTCACACACACG